TAGCTACCTTGTTTATAACCCTCCTTACCAAGTCCCATGATCCTCCAAGTAGGTTTTCAGAGCTTAGGTTGCAGAGCTTGAGGTTCAGGGTTCAGGGAACCCTTGCGCATGAGTTCTGGCCTTATCCTGAAATAGTCCACCCTCCCTAAACCCTAAACCCTAAACCCTAAACCCTAAACCCTAAAACCCAAACCCCTAAACCAAACCGAAGAGCCTTGGTGGTGTTAGGGTTTATTGGGCGTAGTGCTTGCCAAAACAGCCTCTCTGGCTGCTTGGATGATCATGGGACTTATAGTAACTCGGGCTCTAAATAAGGTAACTACACTATACTTGTCACCCCAGGTAGGGTTCTTATATCTCTACTTACCCAGTCCCAGTCCCCAAAACCCTAAACCCTAAACCCTAAACCTAAACCCTAAACCCTAAACCCTACATGCTGCCAGAGCCACCATTGATGGAGCGAGGCGAAAGCCGCGTAGGCAGCGTCGAAGTTCTCCTGGCATCACCCTTTAAGGGTCCAAGCCTAAGCCCAAAACCCCAAACCCTAAACCCTGAACCCTAAGCCCTAACTCTCAAACCATAAACTCTAAACCCTAAACCCTAAACCCTGAAACTCTAAACCCTACATACACGTTCCCAAAACGCCACCTACACAACTGCTCTCAATGTACAGTACCATCAATACAGTATAATATACTACAGCATATTGAAGTAGATAGTACCATATAATACAACATAACATAGCTTATTACAATATATATGGTAATATTGGATTTGTTGGAGCCCTAAACCCTAAACCCTAAATACCCTAAATACCCTAAATACCCTGAATACCCTGAATACCCTAAATACCCTAAATACCCTTACTACCAAAACTACCCTAACTACCCTAAGGACCCTAAACCCTAAACCCCAAACCCTAAACCCTAAACGAATACAGCACTCAAGGTCTTCAGCTTTAGCAACCCAGAGACTCCAAAACCCCTTAATTAAGGAATATACCTTAAATCATACTAGGGATCCCTAATATGATTTAAGGTATATTCCTTAATTAAGGGGTTTTGGAGTCTTTAG